TGCTTTGTCATTTTAAATATTGAGAAATCTCTATAATATTATGGTTATATTACGCAAACTTAAAAAATAAATATTTAAATTAAATAATAATTTGAAACAGGAGCACATACAACACTTTACACTTTACTTTTCGACATCCAAAAAAAAAATAATAAATATATATATATATATATATATATATATATATATATTGCAATTTTATTTGCCAATTCTTGTCACAAATAAGGGCGTTTTCATATCAATAATTTCATTTCTGAATTTTACTATAAATTTTTTTTGATGGTCCAAGTTTTTAACTACCAAGTTTTTAATTTTGGATTTTGAAAGTTTTTATCATTGGAAGCATTACACCATCGATATTTTTGTCAAATGATATTTTTGCATACCAAAATTTTGGAGTTTTAAAAATATTGACTATGGAAATGTTTAACTATTTGCCATGTCAATCATTTATGTCTGACGATAAGAAGTTCTACATGAGCTTCGTCAGCCACAAATAATTTACATGGCAATTAACTTTTTAAATAGTTAAACATTTTCATATATATATTTTATATTTTTAATTACCTAAATTTTTAGTATGCAAAAATATCATTTGACAAAAATATCGATGGTCTAATGATTCCACGATATGAACGATATGAAGTTCTAAATGAGCCTTGTCAGACATGTAAATCCAGGAATTTTGTCAAAAAAATTATTTTTTATATACAATAAATTTTCTTGATACTTTTTTTACCTAAATTATCTAATAAAGTAAGCGTAGCCCATTTGAATCTTACACATGCCATCGAAATATTTTTCTACCTAATTTCTAAGAATTTCTAAGAATAACTTAATTATTGAAATATTAACTAATTTTTATTACAACGTGGTTAATTAAATAATATTCGTATAATTTATCTAATACAGAATTTTATTTTTTGCCTAATTTTATATATTTTCTTGTGAAGTATATATGTTTTACGTAGTCAGTATTATATAGCCATTTTTACTCCATTGCATTTAAAATTATATTAGCAAAATTTATGATTTTGAATTATTTCTAAAAATAAAAAAAATCTAATATTTTCTATTCACATTATTATTTCCCTAAATAACTTGGATTTATTGTGTAATTTTTATCATTATTCATTTAGTACTCCAGATTTTTTTTAAATAGAATTTATTATTATCTTCTTAATTAAAATATTTTAATTATCATTTTTTTTAGATATTGATTTTTTAAATATCATTCTGATTGCTTTGTCTGGATGCTAGACATTTCTTCTGGTTTATGATTCTATTGTCTGCGCTAGATCAAAGCATCAATCACCTTTAGGCAAACAACAATATGTCATAATTTTCTTCAACAGGTACGCAAGTTTTTATTTTGTAATGCATTTTATTATATTTTTTATTTTTATTATACGGTTATAAATGCTATTGGTTATATAATATTAGTATTAGTATCATCATTAGAGCGGGATGAATATTTTCATTTATTTTTTCATAGATACATCTAAATCTGGCGTTTTTATAAAGATTGGGGAATAGATTTTATTACAAATGTAATATCGCGGCGTGATCATAAATGACCATTCTAATAGCTTAGCTTATAATATCCTAATATTATATCAACTCCAAAACCAAAAATGAAACAAATTTTCTAATGACCTATTTGGTTGAAAACATCTTTTTGTTGGTAGTATACAACAAGATAGATGACATATTAAAACAAGCATAACTATAATCATTTTTACATAAATTATTGTGATCTCTTACTAAAATGTATCTGTATATACGACTATAAATTAAGTCAGCCTTAGCTATATTTTTAACTCAATATCTGCTCTCGTAATCAAAATATAAACATAAAATTTCGGCAATATTCGAATAAATATATCTCAAAGTCAAATATGTCAAAATGGTTTTGTAAAAATACATTCTGAATACAAAACCTTATATTCAATTCTATCACCTGTCATGTGTTGACTTGATCGAATAAAACAAAATGTAACGTTGAACAAACTATATCTGCTGGTGATATATTGACAGAAATATATATTTTTCTTGTACATGTTATAAAATAGATGATATATGAGCTAAATTTGCTGACGAAATTTTTTGTTGTGTAGTATTTCAACGGAAAATAATTACTATTTATTGTTAATTTTAACTAGCTATATAAAACATATTAAAAGAGATAATCCTTAACACTTTTCTTAATTTCTAGGCAGAACCCGATATCTTCCTACCATTTTTGCTGTACTATTATACTTTTATAGTTACATGTTACAGTTATATCGTTGTTATAGTTCAAATTTTTACTATAAATAATAAAATCATTTCATAAATATAGAAAATTTTTCGAAGATGTTTGCTTTAGAAGAAAATCCGATTTGCTAATTTTATGTTTTCTCGATGTTTCATGTCACTCTGAGTCGTTGAGACCCCAAACTTCGAAAAAGTATGTATGCTCGTTTCTTGGAGCCGATTATTGACCTTGATTCAAAGTTTGTTCAAAAAGCAATATTGTATTTATATGAAAATTAAATTTACAAAATTAGTTTGTATGATAGTAAAAATAATTAATTAAATTTTCTTTGGTAATGTTCAGTATCAAATTGAAAAGTTTCCAGATTTTCCAACAATGTTTAAGTAAAATATTGACATCTATTAGCAGTATTTTACGTTAAAACGTTTAAATGAAAATTTGTTGTGTAATATTATCCGTACAATCTTTATTCATTAGAACTTCTAATATTTGCTTAAAAGCTTTATGATGTTCAAAAATTGCTCCTAAAAGCTGCGTAAACCATTACGATTATGTTCAACGTTCATAATAAATACTTATCTACAAAGATTTTTTCTCTTTTTGTCTTATATTATCTGTGCTATATAATGTATTCGATTTCATATTATATCTTTTACTCTTCATTAAAATATAATTATTGAATGCCCTTAATCTAAATTATGTAAAATTAAAACAATTTGGTGTCTTTGCTTTTCTTATATTATTAAACTGTTAAAATTAATCAGGATATTTCACTTCTTACTAAAAACTATGTATCAAATTTGATTTGAGTTTAAGCATTTCATATAGGGACAGATTCTGCCGCATAATAGAAAAATGTTATGCAAGGCCAAGTTACGCTCCAATATCCATTCAATATGCTACTGAATCATACTGAATACTGTCAAAATGCCATGTATTTGCTGTACATTCAGGCAGTTTTACACATAAACTGCAACGCTACTCGTATGTTATGAAGCTGTGTCAGAAACATCCTGTTATCTAAGATCGTTTTTTGACATTGGTGCGGCTTCTAGGTTAGGTTTTCTACCTGATAACCTGAGAAATACGCCTGACTGCACACGAACTACATGGCTTCTATCAATTTTTAGTATGGAAAGTTCTTCATCACATCGCCTTACTATAATATTTTTCTATTATGCGGCAGAATCGGTTCCATAATTTAGTGAAGTAGGTTTCAACTTCTAATAAAAAATAATTTTTAATTTCTTACTTCTGTCGCATATATTATTTCAAAAATTCAAAGCAAACAAAATAATATAATATTTAGAGCAGTTACTCTTAACAATATTATAATAACTAACGATTTGAAAACGTATCTTAAGCAGCTTTTAATGTGTTGTTAAATCTCGAAATAATATTTTCAAAATAATATTGCACATCTATAAATTTTTGTGTCTATTAATATTTTTATTACATTTGTGAAACGCATTATCGTTTGACTAAAACATTTGTGTCGTTTATATTATGTTGAAAATAGTTGAATTTGTTTACAATGGAATATTTGTATTGAAGTTAAATTTGGGAAAATAACTAACTTACTGTCTAGATTATAATTTATGTGATATTTGCGATGTATTGATAAATATTTTGCTTAAAACATAAACAACGATTTGAATGCTATTCAAAAATAGATCCTAGTTTATTTACGATATTTTTTGCACGATTTTCCAATATTGGCTTGATTACTTCTACACAAATTTTATAAATTTTAAAATTAATAAAATTCAAGGAATTATTTTTTATTATTTGAATTTCTCAAGATAAAACTTAAGTTGAATACATCTAAGAACTTGTGAGACTTTCGACTTTTTTTATAAACTATTTGTTTTTTTTCGAGAATTCTTCTTTTTCATTATCTTTTAAAATGTACTCTGAAATATAATTTTTTTTCAACGTATGAGATTTAAACGATTTTCCTTATGCTGAATGATCAAAATAAAAAATCAACGAATCTACTGTAACATCTAGTATTTAAATTTCTTTAAATCCTTTGTATGTTTATTAAAAATCAGCACGAATTTTTAAAATAAAATAAAATACTTTTATTTTAAAAAAAAGTAGATACCAAATATTGTAAATAGTTTTACATTCCAAATAGGATTTGTTTGAGCTTTATTTGAACTTCAATTGATTGTTTACAATTATTCGAGGAAATCGTAGAGATTAAATAATACAATTTAAACATAAGTGCTTTCAAATAATTATATATTTTCAGTATAAAATTACAATTATAAGCTTCTTTACTTCAAATATACATACAAATTTTACACAACACAAGATAAAGTCATGATATAAAATAAATATTAATTTTACAACTGGATAACATATAAAAACTTATTATTACATTAATTTATAAACTTATATATATATATATATATATATATAATTTAAGTATTATTAAATATTTTGATCTCGAATCTGCGTATATTTGAACAAAATTGAAATATAGCCAAACACGTACTTGATTCTAATTTAGACTATTTATAAGGAAAATGCGTTGCAAATATTTAAGCAACATTAATTTAAATCATGGCAAATCGCCAACGAAAATTTCCTTGAGATCATTTATGACACGATCTCAGAAATAGCAATAAATGTCACAAAAATTAAATTAAATTTGATTCATTATATATAGAATTATAATTATATTTTATTTGATTTATTTCATGATATATTGAGTATTTATATAAAAACGACTAGACGTAAAAATATCTATAATATATATAACTTTCGCATTTTCTTTGTAAAAATATATAAAAATAGGCTAGTGTTAGATATGATAAATTTGGGGCAATAAGATTTTTGGTACGAGCACTAATCTTAAGAAAAAAATAATACAAATTTTAAAATTTTGCTATAGTTTGACCTATTATAAACCAATAAGTAATAGTTGTACTAAAGATTCTTTATATTTTTAATATGTTCTCATTGCACCCGTTTAATCTAGTTCAAGTTTTATAATACACAAACATCTTATAAATTTAAGTATAAAATCTAAAAATTATCACACAATAAACGCTAGTCTTTCAGAGTAAATAATATAACCCTTAAGACTTTGATTCTTAAATTAATGGTAATATCAACCACAAAATATTGGAAAAGAAAATCGTACCGCTAAATGTTTGCATATAGTTCCATGTCACCCAATTTTAAGCACCTTAATAAGAATTCTATAAATTTTTGAGGCATTCAATTTATAAATCAAATTTTCTATCGTTATTGAAATGTGTCAAAAATATAAGCTATTTTATTTTCTTATGATTTTTTATAAACTAAGTTTTTTCGACGTCCATATAAAAATCGAAGTACGTTTAAAATATAATGTTCATGATAGCATAATGAGGTATCTATACCCCTTTGAAAGTTCTGAAAATGATATCATAAGAAAGTTATTTTACAATATTTTTTTTTTAGTTTAAATTAAAATACCCTTAAAGATCCGTCGTCCTCATCATTCAAATAATTAACGTGGTTTGAAGCAGCGAATTCAGACCTTAACTTACACAAGTACACAATTGTGGTTGATATGTTCCAAGCCTTTGATGAAAAATTAACTTTTCTGTTTTCACCACAGACTCGGATTTTAGTATGATATAAAAACTATATACAAAACTAAATCTACATTTATTAAATAATATAAAACTGAGTTCTCATAATAATCAGACATCCAAGTCCCATTCTTCCTCTTCAAGTTCAGAAATCTTAACCTCAGGGAAAGTCAACTGCTTCAGTTTTCCATGAGCACGAGGTAAAAGCGGATTGTTCCTCAGGTCGATTTCGCGTAAAGATGGGGCGTTGCGCAATTTATCGGTGTCCACATCTGAAAATAAAAACAAAAATATTTTTTTATTATAATCTTTATTAATTTCCTGTAGGGTAAGTTATAGTAATTTCAAAAAAATTAAAAATGTACATTCTGAACATTTTGGTATACCTTAGAAAAAATGGATGTGTGTTTGATTGTGTGCGTGCGCGTGTGTGTGCGGATACAAATTTTCGTCGACGATTTCGCAAACAAGGATCAACCGATATTCTGAATAATTCAAATAACATTCGATTTTTAATGATAAGAAGACGTACTGATTAGTTTTTGGCAAAGGCAGGGCTAGCTGTTTCGGAAATACGGGGTGAAAAGTGCCAAAAATGGTCAGTTTTTCAGATAACGGAGCGTCCGATTTAAATAATTCAAAAACATTTTACTTGTATTGACGAAATGAACAACTGGTAAAATTTTTGTAAAGGTAGGTCCAGCGTCTCCGGATGCCCAATAAAAAAAATAACTAGTGGTGTTAACGTACCGCACCGAAACATTCGAGGAATATTAAATGTTTTCAAATAGATTATATTTAGCTCAGTATCTTCTAAATCGCTGCACCTGCCTTGCCAAAAACTAATCACCACTTCTTGTCATTACAAATTTAATATTTTTCAGATGATTCAAATCGGATCCTCTATTCTCTCAAAAACTCGATTTCTATTGTCTGCACTCTTTGCTCCCTGTCTCCGTAACGGCTGGACCTGCCTTTGCCAAAAAATAATTAGCACATCTCCCTATCAATAGGAATCGAATATTTTTTAAATCATTGAAATCGGTTGACCCGTGCGCCCGAAAACGTGAACGAAAAAATGCGGTCACATAAAACACACACACACGCATATACATTTTTTCTGAGGTATGTCAAAATGTTCAGAAACCTTCAAAACGTGGAGAAACGCAAAAATTCATTCTCGATTTTCGGCCCATTACTGCAACTACCTTACGGAAAGTTAAAAAATAATGCCATTTGGCGGTCAAAAATGAACATATGGACATATGTACATTGTAGTGTATAAAGATTATAACAATAAGTACAAATTTTGTTACAAATCAAGATATACAAAAAACACAAATTTTTCAAAAACGTCAAATTTTTTCAAAAATTTCAATATTTCTCAAAAATCTAATTTTTTCAAAGTTTTGCAAAGTTTTTTTTATAATAACGAATATTTTATTGATGCAGCAATGACGGATTAGGGTTATTTTCACTTGGAAACATATTGCTGTCTATACTTCCAAGTGAAAACTGTTGTCACTGCTGCTTGACAAGAGGGTGCTTAAATTATTATTACTCAATTATTAAGTTAACAGTTCAAAGGTCATATTTTATAAATCAAGAGGATTTATAAAAATATGACCTTACGTTTTGAAAAATATGCTTATTTGAATGAATGATGATGGTTTTGTTATAAATTAAACAATTTTAAATTATTACCATTTATCCAATAATTTTAAATAATGTAATTTATAAAAAAAAAATCATCATGATCAATTAATAATTAGTCATCCAATTAGTCATTATTAAAGTTCAAAATTTTAAGTTCTGAAATATACTTCCAATTTTAGATTTTATCCAAATAATGGCATATATACGAGTATATATGAATTTTTCCTACCGGCAATATGATTGTGATTTGCGTAAATCCTCGTCAATTTCGGAATTTTGAAGACAACATTTGGCAGTGCAATATAAGTGTTATGAGAAATATCCAGACGTTCCAAATTTCCAAGATCCACAAGTTCATCAGGAAGCTTTGCCATTTGATTGTGAGACAGATTCAAATCTGCAATACAATGATTAGGTTGATTCGCTTATCGACAATAATGAAATTATAATCTATTTATCTATTATTTATTACCTGTGATAAGATTAAAGTTTGTTGCGAATTTAGGCGGGATTTTCGTGATAACATTGCCGCTTAAATCGCAGGTTTTGAGCTCTGTATGACGCATCAGATGGTAGACGGCGTCTGGCACTTGCATCAGCTGACATTCTGAGAGATCTGGAATTTAAAAAAATGATTTATTGTCAAGTTTCTTGCAACATTCATTATATATATAAACATTGAACTTGAGTTTATATCATGCAGACAGCTAAGTCTTATACTGAAGATTAGCGTTCAAATAAATCTGTTATTTTAATACTAAATATTATTTACATTTCGCGGACATCGATTTTTTTAAACCTGACATAGCCCTTTGTCTGTTGTCATAAATCACATGGGAGTCGATTTGGTTGAAATATACATAAATAATATAAATATTTGTAGTCAATAATTTAGATTATAGACAATTTTCCACATTACTTATTATTTGATTCTAAAAGCTTATATATACTATATTATATAAGCTTATTGAGTTGTAAAAAATTGATTGCGAATTTAAAAAATAAAAATTTGAGTTGCTTAGTTCATGTTAAATCTAACTAGTAATAGTCATTTAAACAATTTTTTATCGTTTTTCAAAATTATTTTTTGTTCTATCTACGCATCAAAATCGCCATTGATGCGAATATACCAATTTTAAAAAGTTCAAATAATTGCATTGATTTTCAATTTTATTACATTTTTTTAAATATTGCTTTTAAGCATTTAAATGAGTTTTATATAAAATTTACCAAATTTAATTTATTAGTGTATTAGTATCAAAAGTTTAACGTTTTCTCCATATATCTGACATAATGAAACATATCAGTTTTGAAATAATTATATTACATTACCGCTATAATAATGATGCTGTATAAAACCACTAAGTATCAGTCATTAGTAATTGGATCATAATAATAGTCTACATAAAATTTTGCAATTTTGTTTTTTATACCTTGCATAAAAGTAATTGCTGTAATAATTACTTAAACTTTTTTGCGTTGAGCAATTAAATTAGTATGCGTTCTTAAGTAGTCCATTATTATTAATCGTAACGCTTTCATTAAATGCATTTGTATTAGTAATTAATAGCAAGGCTGGATGTCATTTTAAAACTAAATATACATATAATAAATTATACTTAATATATGATAATATTATATATAATATATTTGGTAATTTATTATTATTGAACCGTTTGCCCTCGAATTAAATTTGCAGATGGATATCGTACTAGGACAAAGAATGGACAAAGGGTCAAGTCTTTGATTTAAATTAATAGAGATAGCTTTCTTCAGTTTCGACTAAATAAATGCCATATTGACAAACAAGGTATGTAGATTTTCATCATATACAATTTTCTTGAAAAAATTTTTTTTAGAAAAATTTCGTTGAGTGTTCAAAAAAGTATTGGTATTTAGTGCCACAATTGATGGGTGCTGTTTTATCCTGTTTATAAGTTTTCTAATATATTTCTAACTAATAGTATATCTCAAACTAAACATGATTGAACTTAAATTATTAATATTTTATGACTATTTCTAACAAACTGAATACTTGTGTTCCCTACACAAATGTACAGAAGCTTCGCAAGAGATTATGATTAGAATCACTCAAGCACGCGGCAAAATTCTAAACTTTAATGCATTTTTATAATTCAATCGCGTATCATAGACCTATAATATCTTAGTATGTTATTTATGGAATCTATCGTTATACAAAGTTTCATCAGAATCGTCCAAAAATAAAAATCATCAGAACTGATCAATACGATTGCCAACCAATATCTTTCGAATAGTTTTTGAATATTTAAAATAGATTCAAAATTGTGGCCTAAAACGTAGATATTTTTTTTACATTTTTCTGCCAATTACAAAAAAATGGCCTAGCCGATCTTCGCAAGAAACCAACGATAGTCCTTCTAAAACAACGGTCGGTGAACTTTTTTAATCATTGCCCCAAAATATTTTTGTCTGTGTTGATATTACCCCCATGGCAAACAGAGATTTACGGATACGGACAACTAGTAACTACAGTAAATATAAATTAAAAATATATACTTTTTACCCCTAAAAAGACAATTTTCACCCCATTTGAGGTAATTTGCCCCGGTTCCCCGATTACTGTTCTAGAGATAAATCGAATGGCTTTTAAATTTCTGAACTTTGTGGCGGGAATAGCTCACTCAGTAGCGTTCTCGACTCATACGCTGGAGGAATACGGTTCGAATCTCCAGCAATACAAGAATTAAAAATATAAAAATATTAAAGTAGATTAAAAATTGTTAATTTGTAGTATACAAGAAAAAAAATGTATTGGTATTACTTCCAAATTAACAAATGAAAAAATATGTTTAGTTTAGAAGATGAGAACATATTGAGAAACAATAAGAATGAAAATTGAATGGAATTAAGGAAAGAAAATTGAATGGAAGATTAGGATATAAGAAGAGATAGTATATGTATGATGAATGTATAAAAAATATATATGTAAGAATTGTATAGAATATAATGAAAAAATAATATGAATAATGTAGGTGGCTAAAAATGCTGTAAAGCGGAGGTCAATAAAAATTAAAAAAAAAACTGAACTTTCTCCTGTTGTTTTTGAGAAAAGGTGAACTTAAGATCAAAAATCAAAATAAACAATAAGGTCAAAGGTCACACACATACTTTTTCCAAATTTGGTCTCATTCGATTCAAAATGACTTGAAACGAGAGAATAAAATTAGTAAATCGGATTTTTTCGCAAAAACATTAACATCTCCTTCGGTAAGTTAATTTTTAAAGATAATTGATTAACAGGTGTAAAACTAAATCTCAGTCTATATTTTAATGAAACTAAATCGCCCGACTAGACCTCAGACTATTTTTAGTAGATATTACGCACAGTTATGCAATTGTGAGTAAATTTTCACATAGTCTTTGTCAGAATCACGACTTCGCAAGGTGTAGAACGCAATGGGGAAACGCGTGGCGTGCATTGATATAATGTATTTATAATAATAAATTATTCATGACAGATATATTATACAACAGTTGTACGGCAGTGATTTTGTGTCATTTATGAATGAAAGTTTAAATGATCGATAGTAATTTACATCGATTTGATTACTTACTATAATAGGAAGTACAAGTTTTTTCTAAGGAAAGTATGAACATCATTAATTATTATTATAATGAATGCAAATCCATGACGAGAGATCAT